TCACGAATGACTCTCTAGAGTGGTTACACAGCCCAGTCTTGCCACCAGTACATAGCTCAGTCTTGCCACCTGAAACTGTCCCAACCGAGGAAGTAAGTCGCTCTGTCGGATCAATTTTTGAGAACATTGAACAGTCCAACAACTCAGATCTCATGTCTGATTCTACTTCGTCTGAAAAGACTCCTGAGGTTAGTATTTCTCCCACTCATGATGATGGCATTGATAAATCTAATGATAGTCTGGAAGAATTGAATATGTCAAACAGATATGTTCTCCCACCACGGAAGAATCAGGGAATTCCTCCAGTCAGATATGAACTAGAATACATCCCCCGGAACTCAAGATATCCTGTTGCTGATCTAGTCAGGGGGAGTGTATCACAGGTTTTTCATACATCCAGCCATGAAGTTCCTAGAACAGTAAATGAAGCCATACAAATACCAGAATGGAGAAAAGCAATGGAGGAGGAGATGAAGGCACTAGAGAAAAACAACACATGGGAGAAATGCCAACTATTCCTAGGAAAGAAACCTGTCGGATGCCGATGGGTATTTACAGTCAAACACAAAGCAAATGGTACAATCGAGAGATATAAGGCTAGATTAGTAGCTAAAGGATATACTCAAACTTATGGTATTGACTACTCTGAGACTTTCTCACCAGTAGCCAAAATTGATACTATCCGAGTATTATTCTCCTTAGCAGCTAATCTAGATTGGCCCTTATATCAGTTTGATGTGAAGAATGCTTTTCTCCATGGAGAACTAAAAGATGAAGTTTACATGGAAGCACCACCTGCGTTCTCATCAGATTTCAGAAAAGGCGAAGGTTGTAGATTGAGAAAAGCTTTATATGGTCTAAAACAATCTCCACGTGCATGGTTTGGCAGATTCACGATAGCCATGAAGAAATATGGATATCGTCAAAGCAACTCTGATCATACCTTGTTTTTAAAAAGGCGAGGCAAGCTCATAACATGTTTGATTATCTATGTGGATGACATGATAATTACTGGTAGTGACATAGAAGAGATGGCTACA